CCCCCCCCCCCAAAAAAAAAGCCGTTTTTAAAAGGCTTGGTGCGCTACTTCCCTGGCCTCCAGCGGCTCTGCGCCAACGTGGCCGGCCGGTTGCAGCCCTCGAAGGCCCCGAGGTGTTCAGTCTTGGGGCGGGCGCGTAGGTAGTTCTCTAGATCAGGGTCCCGTTTCGGGTTCCTTAAAGGGAGCTATAAGGGCTTCTCTAAAAATGTGTGGGTCTCTAAATTAGGGTCCCCTTTGGGGGTCCTTGTTATAAGAGTGCCCTACTACTTTGGGGACCCTAAATCCTTAACTGGCCTTACCCCTGCAGTCTCCTCGCAAGACGAGCCCTCGGAAGGATCAGCAGCACGCAGTCTTGTACGAGAGGCTCCTCTCATCTAGCTCGCTGGCGTCTTGGCCCTGTTTTGGGTTTTTGTTGAGGAGTTCCATTTAAATTATCATAGTCAGGGAAACCTCAGTAATTGCTATAGGCACTTAAAACTAAAGTCCCTGAACAACAGCACAGTTTTGCCAGCTGTCTTATTCCGCCAAATGGTCCTGTAGTTGATATTTACATCCAGAAAGCGATGTGACAGCTCAGTTGGGTTGCATACCTGTCTGGCAAGCATTTGGAAAGGGGGGAAGGGTGTCCTCCATAGACTTGCTTGTTATGGGTATCGTGATCTAAACTGGCTTGGACGGAAGCTTCTGCTACATCCCATTTAACGAGTTTTAAATTAGAAGTAAACATTTAGAGAGCAGATTTCGAGGTGCGGTCTCCTGTGACCAAGATTGTGTTGGCACGTGCTTTCGGCTAGATGTTGTTGGGCAACTTTGACCCAGGAAGCCCGCAAAAAGATGCATCAGCTCCACCACTCCATATCTCGATGCAAGCCGTGACCACTGGCTTTCATCTTTGCATCCTTGGTGCCGGTATTTCGCAGACATCTCTTCCCAGCTTTTTTGACTTCGATGACGGAATTCCCGGCTATTTCTGGTAAGACCTCTAGGCTCATGGTTGAAACCCCCCCGAAGTCTGAATCACGCGTGCGCTTGTCTGACCTCCTTGTCCCTTTGTTCAAGATGACTCCGCATGCATCGACAGATAGCTGCCCGAGGGTCGTGAATTCGGGCGCTTGCCGCAGACATGCGCTCCCCTACGTCTCCCTGTGCTCCGAGCACGGTGATCGACTGCAACAAAGCCATCGCGAGCTGCAGGAGGTCAGGCGGCTGGAAGCAGGGCATCGTTCTGTTGGCTGAGATGGAGAGAAGGCACCTGAAACCGGACATGATTACATATAACACTGAACTCAGCCTCTATGGAGGAGCTTCCTCCGACTGGTCACAGATGGCTCTGTTGTTGTCTGAGATGCAGTCAAAGCTGCTTCGGGCTGATATCATATCACTAGGGGCGAGCCTTCGTGCTTTCGAATTGTGCTGGAGCCGGGCGGTTCAGCAGCTCAGTCGCAGTCAAGTCCACGCACTCCTGCCCAATCTCATAACTTACAACACAACTTCTACTGCTTGCGCAAAAGCATCCGACTGGCAGCGTGCTTCGCAGCTGCTCAGCGGCTTGAGATGCTTGCATGCAGTACCAGACATCATCACCTGGAACTCCTTGTGCGATGCATGCGACAAGGGGGCACTTTGGTTGCAAGCTTGGACTTTTCTCCTTGAGGCACGTCACTCGACGGCGAGCCCAGACGTAGTCACCTATAGCTCTGCCGTCAGTGCCACGGGGAGAGGCCACGCGTGGATGCATGCAACTCAGCTTTCTGCAGGTATGGCACGGGATCAGCTGGAGCCCAATCTGATCACCTACAACGCGTCCAGCAGCGCTTGCGAGAGGGCCGGCCAATGGGAGACGACCTTGCAGGTTACTGGGGCCCCCAACTCTGAAACAGGGTAGGTTACGACCTCATAAATGCGAGGGTATGTGGTATTGTATATCCCTTGAAAAAGGAGAAAAATTGTAACCCCTTCATTACAGGCATAACCCTTGAAACAGTAGCTTGTTGGATCCCCAGATTATCTCTGTGGCCGACTCGGGTCATCCACCGGCGGACATCATCTCCTACAACTCGGCTGTCAGCGCCTGCGCTCCTGAAGGAAAGTGGCAGCTTGCGCAATTCTTGCTTGGCAGAGGCCTTCAGTTCCTCGGTTCTTCTTCAGCAGCTTGTTTCAAATTCCTAGATAGTATTAGGGCTTAGGAGGGAGGCAAGGGTCCTCCCATTCCTAACTCCTATAAATGAAGATGTTTTGCTTTAAGTGAGGAATGCAGATCCACTGCCACAAAGTACATTCCCTATATCCCTTGTAAAGCCTTTCTAAGACCGAAAGCTACATAAACCCTTTTCGCACCCTATCGAAGCATATAAGGCCTTCCTAACCCCTAAACCCTTCAACCTCTCCACCCATAAACCCCAAGATAGGGGCCTTAGTAGTTACCTATAGTATTTTGGGGGGTCCTTCTTAGAATTATAGTGTAATATACCCCAGACCCTGTTCTAATTACCCCAAGATAGGGGCCTTAGTAATTACCTGTAGTATTTTGGGGGTTCCTTTTTAGGGTTATAGTGTAATATACCCCCAGACCCTGTTCTAATTATTAAGACTCCTACATTAAACCCATAATTCCTTGACCCTTCAACCATCGACCACAAAACCGTAAGACGTTTAAACACAAGTAGAGGCGACGCCTCTTGCCCACAGCAGTGACCTATGGTGCGGCCATCATGGCGTGTGAATCGGTGGCAAGGCAGGGCTCGAATCTCGAAGTTAGGGGTTTAGGGGTTTAGGGTTGTGAACCATGGATGCGTAATTCATGTGCGAGGTTTTGAAGGTACATCAAGTAATACCGGTTGCCAACGCATGTTAAGATTCTTGAGTTAAATCTTCTGAATACCTAGACAACGAAGTGTAGTCCCCGTTTGCCGCTTTTGGGTATCCGGTTGATTCACAGCCTGGTTCTTGCTTTATCTTATGAATGGTGCTACATGTCAAGTGGTTATGGGTCAGGAGCATGATAAGCTTTCCATAGTATGGATTGCAAGAACAAACCCAGTTTGTCAGCCTTTGGTGTGCTGCTACTGGTTTCCGGAAGCAGTATCTTATTATCTTTGCTCTTTGGCATGATTGCGTCGTCGATGTGAGTTGATCCTCGTGGCTGACATATGGGTTCGTACCACTACATATCGTAGCTTTCTTGTTTGCAAGCATCCTTTCCACACGTGGGTCCCCAACTCCCCAGCCATCCTATGAGCCCACGAGCCGTGACTCCTAGTAAGCGCCTATACCCCAAGCTCCCAAACTTTCCAGACCCTCAAGCCCTGCACCCTAGACTAGAACATGAAGTCCTAGCCCGAAACATTATACAAAATAGAGACCCTAAGCCCCAACTAAACCCTAAACCCGAAAGCATTCGCAGAATTGAACAGAGAACCTAGAGGTCCCGTTTTCCAACTCCTCGCAGGTGGGAAGATGCCATTGTCCTGTGGAGTGAGACTCGGATCTGCCGAAGCTTCCCCAACCTCAAAGCCCTGAGGGGCCTTATTATGATGAGAGTATAACATACCCGAAAATAGGGGCCTTAATAGTTACCTATACTATCTTGGGGTTTCGTTATTATGATTAGTATAATATACCCCAAAACCGGCCCAAAACCCTATTTTTAGTATAAAGCCCCTAGACTAGGGTTCAGGAGAAGATATCCGCCATAAACCCATATACCCTAAAGTGCGTGGCAGCCCAGGAGATGATCCAGGGCAATGTAGCAGCCAATGAGATCGCCCTCAACGCCACGCTGCTCGGCCTTTCTGAAGTTAACCCTTAACCCCAAACCCTAAACAATTGGTCTTTCCCGCAATCTCTACTGACCTAGGTATCAGGTCACTGCGTTAGACGGTTCAGAGTTTTGGTTCACCTGGTAACCTGCGACTTCAAGTGGAGCCCCGGACCCAGCGCGTAATGGGCGTTCTAAGAGGATGATATATTTCAGAGGTTTTTCGGTTTCGACCTTCATTTCCTGAGTGTAGCGGCATTTTACAACGGTCCTCGCTATGACTGTTGTCTCCATTGAATCTCCCTGTATACTTAGGAGCACAGAACTAAGTAACCAAAAATGCAACACCATTGAAGACCGTTTTTGCAATTGAGGGTCTAAAGGAGTCTAAAGGACCGACCGCTTCGGTCTAATGCAGGTTGGTATGTGGGGGGGGAGTATACCACTATTCGCCCCATGGACCCCTAGGGCTATGGGGTTCAAGGTGTTCAGGGTTTTAGGACTCACTGCTCCAAAGCTGTGTGGATTTCAACCTCATGAGGCCCCAACTGCGCACCCCGGCGCCACCAAGCTTGAAGGTAGTCGAAGTCTTAAGCAGCAGAAACCAGTAGGTTAGTATACACACGTATACATATGTGCTAACCCGCCCCGAAGTTTGCTTCAACGGTAGCCGTCATATTCATGCTAATATTATACTACACAGAACGAATTCCATTAAGAACCACGATCCTTGCCGTCTGCGCTCTGCCATTGCCCAAGTGGTGGCCCTTAGGATTTTTTAAGGGTGATACCAGCACTTGTTTGTTTACCTCACCATATTGTACATGGTACCCTCTGTCTCACTGTAGGAGAGGATCATGTCGGGCTTGCGGTCGGACTTGCCGGACTTGCCCGTATGTGTGTATGTACATTTATGTGTGTGTATATGCACATGCTAAGCCTAAGGTTAAAGTAGGTACCAACAAAATGACGAGAATCGTTAACGGACTCCTGATTCCAAACAACATCAACCCTAACCCTATCCTTGTCATTCGCCCTTATGTCAATGGTGACCGTAATATTCACTCTGACAGCAGTCCTAAGGCCATCCATAGTAGGCTTAGCACCACCCATAAGTTGACCCCGATGTTTCTCTTATTTAAATTGCAACCTTAGTCAGCTAGAAGAAATAGTCATAGTAGTGGTAGCTGTGATAACCCTGATAATTATCCTGGATCCAGGTCTGTGTTAAACCTGCAACACTAGCTTTCTATTGACCCCAAGACTGATCAGAACAATGTCTTGCTTATGACCCAGTATACCGTCTTGTAGAGCATGAACGCTAAGCGGGTTCGAACCTGGAACCTTACTGGAAACACTAATTCGTAACAAACACAAACACACTCTTTGCTAGGAAAAACCTGTTCTCGGAGGTAAAATACAACTTTCCTAGGACAAGCTTGGTTGCTTTTGGACACAAAAACCAACTTGTTTCCTATGAAAAAAGGCTTTGGCTTTACAAACCCACTTTTTGCTAGGGGGAAAACAAACAAATTTGGAAACCATACGGCCAGACTCCAAAAGATGTTTTGGTTTCCTAGGTTTTAGTTGGTTGTCAGTGGAAACACCAACTTTTCCTGAACAAACGTTGTGTTCGACCAAAACACCAATTTTTGCCCTAGCAAGCAAATGGTTTTGGTCAGAAAAACAACCTTTTGCCCAGCAAAAAGATGGTTTTGGCTAGAAAGCCATTTTTTCCCTAAGACAAAGATGGTTTTGGGTTGAAAGAACCATTTTTTCCTCTGAAAAGATGGTTTGGCCAGGACAACCAGCTTTTTTCCTAGGAAAAACCCAAAAAAAACACAATAGTTTTGGAGTCCGGCCGTAAAGTTGTCCAAAAGATGTTTGTTTTCGTTTCTTTTTGGTTTTCTCTAGGAAAAAGTTGGTTTCTCGTACCAACACCATGTTGTCGCTAGGAAAAAGTTGGTTTTTGATTGGAAGCGTACAGTGTTGCCGTTAAGTGCGTGCTCATGTCGAACCTGGACGGGTTGTCTGACGACTGGTTTTGGATTCTTGCTGTTGAGTGCATGCTCACGTCGAGCCGGAAGGAATGGCCTGACGCGTTCTCTTGAATTTGAGTTAGGTTTTGTCAGTCTTTGAGAGATACGGAATCCGGACCAGCCGGAACAGCTAGGTCAACGCTGTATTTACGACACAAAACGAGCGCCGGTGGTTCATGCCGGGGTGCTGTTTATGTATATGTATATAATACGTACATGTATGTGTATAAAAATATGTGTACATATTTATTTCATAATAATAAAAATAGTAGTAGTAACTATAAAAGTGATAATAATAGTAATAATCTACCTATGTATATATAGATATATGTATGTGTGTGTGTTTATATACACGTGTGGGTGTGTGTGCATCGATGCATGTGTGCATGCATACATACGTACATACATACATACATACATACATACATACATATATACCTATGTATATATATATACACACATATATATGTATATATGTATATGTATAGCTACCTTTCATATCTTCCTATGTATTCGTGTCCATGAAACCACAGCTGAGTAAGTTCGAATCTTTTGCAAACCTTGTAGAGTCCCCAAAACACCTTTCTAGTTCTACAAGTTGCTGTCGATAACCCCGCCCGAAACTCATATACAAAGACAGTGCCATTGTCCTGAACCCCGATCCCTACCCGAACTTTACTCAAGAACCCTTCTACGACTCTCCGACGAGGCTCAGTACGTGCGAGAATGCCGCAAAATGGCAGGCTGCGTTGTCTTTGAGCCTCGAACGATTTCCGAAACCGTGGTTTAGAGCAGTTGAGGTGTTTAGGATATTAATGGACTAGATTCAGGGTGTTGGGTTCAGCGTAAACCCTGACATCCTAAGTTCTAAGTCCACAACTCAATGCAATAAAGCTCCAACCCACATCTTAAATGCCCTGCGACCAGAATCCCGACAGATTTCAACAGGTGCTGTACGGCCCTTGATATAGGGGCTTGGGCATTGGGGTTTAGGGCAGTTGCATGCATTTGAGCTTCAGTTTCGCGATGCATTGAGGAAACCCTAATTCCTCATCCCAAGTCCCTGAACCCTCATTCTTTCCCGGAAACTAAAACCATAGACGCTGAGCCCCAAACGTTTTGAAATTCGCAAAGCCTTGTAGAACCATGGAAAGTACTATACAACCCTATGCGGTCCTGCACAAGATGAGACAAAAACCAGACAATCTGAGCCACAAGGCTCTAAGAAACCGGTTGTTGAGGCGTGTGAGCCTGAAGGCCATGCTCTAGATAATGATGCTATATTGCAGTCTTTCTTTACTATACCAAAGTGTATCTTGCTATGTTATGCTCTAACACACCATGTTATCCTTTTTTTAATATATGTAATTCTGTAGCATCAGGCTGCTGGGCTCTTCGAGGCTTAGGGTAGAGGGTTGAAGCTACGGATGTGGGGTTCGAGGCACTCCATTCACGTGTGTTTATGATTTGTGACTGATTGTGACTCAGCAAAACATGAAAACCCAACCTTAAACTTCTAGCCAATATAAGCAGTAAAGTCATGAAGCCCCTAGGATGGAGGATGCTGAGCAGCTTCTCATACAGCTGGACCTGTACCCGAGTTGCACATAAGGGTTTCGGGTTCGTGCTAGGGTCTGGGGTTAGGGGTTTAAGTAGGGGCTTGGGGTTTGGGTGTAGAGTTTCTATGGAACTCATGCTGTGCGAGGTTTATGACGGTGTTGATGGGTGAGAATGATTGGTTTCATGCTGTACTCGAAGCCCTAAATTCCAAACCCTCAAATCATCTCAGTTCGGCGCCCATGCAAACGATTAGGGTTCATGGTTTGGGGCTTGGGGTATTCAGGGTTCAGGGTCTGCGGATGCTGAGGCTTTGTCTGTTCGTGATGTTGACATTATCTGTCATGCCTATAGTCTCCATAGTAGCTCCTTTTTTGGTACACCAGTTTTGTGGCTATGATCCTGTAATATAAATCTGGATAACCAACAAAAGAACAACAAGGAGACTGTAGGTTTCTCGTGGTGGGCTCCAGTTTACCTGTCACTTCTTGCTTCTTCGGTTCGGCCGTCCCGAGAGCTAAGCCCGAGCCTCAACCCTGAACCCTCATAGAGGGGCCTGAATATTTACCTATACTATTTTGTTGGGGGTGGGGGTCCTTATGATAAATATAAAGTATACTGGGCCCAAAGCTCTATTCTAAATATTAAGGCCCTTATATACTACCTAGTCATACCTAGTTTACGCCGTTACTCTTCATCAATGAACCCTGCACTGTAACCCTGCCACCCCGAATTGTCCTGCGGCAATGCCAATAACCCCAGCCCCAGACCTTACTGACAGTGTCCAAGGCCCGGATGCATGCGCTCCAAGCACTAGTCAAAACAGCTCCAACGCTCCATGTGAAGCAGTATCCTGAACCCTAAACCCTAAATCCTACTAGCCCTAAGCCGTGTTTCAATAAGCTCCTTTGTTTTTAGGATTTCCTACAATGCCGCCATCAGCGCCTGTGGTGCGGCGGCCGAGTGGAAGTTGGCCCTGTCTTTGCTTCGCAGCCTGGAACACTTAATGTAGGGGCCGTAATAATTAGAATAGGGTTTTGGGGGTTCCTTATTATGATTATAGTATAATATGCCTCCAAACCCTATTCTAATTATTAAGGCCCCTATATTAGAGCTTCTAGGGCTAAGGGACAGGGATAAGAGCAGGGTTTTGAGGTGCACTGGTATGTTGTAGCGCAACAGAATAATAGGACTATAAAGGTATAGTACTGAGGTAGTCCGATCCGCATTACACGTACGTGCCCCGGCAGCGAAACCTTGATTAGATAGTTCCTTGATGCCTAGGAGTCGTCGTTACATACATGGTAGTAGTGACGAGGGGATCACATCAGACAAGACTACGTGCCATGCACGTGAGATGATGTTACTCTATATTGAGGGTCCAAGCTAGATGATGTATGATTGGGTAGTTTGATTCGGGATCCTAAACCCTAAACTAAACCCC